AACTCAAATTTAAATTACAAAAAAATCTGTCTACATTAAGAATTCTACATCTTTGACCTCGCATTTTACGAGTGGTGTGTACAGAAATGTAACTATCCAAAGTTATGATCGTATGAACAAGGAAAAAGGACAAATAACAGGTTTGAAGACATTGTTTATCAGATCTCTGATGGGGTTTGCTTCAATGCAAGAGATTGAGTATTCTGACAGATCATGGAGAGACAGAACAAACATAGTCCTGATGCAAACAGAAGAAAATTATAGGGTCAGAAACTACATTTGCGGATTCATTTGCAGTCTTTGTTATAGGAGGAAGAAGAGTTAAGAGTATGCAGAATAAATGTCCAAAACATCATTCCACTTCGTATTGCGCTTCTTTTACTTCATCTTTACCAAATGCTACAGCATAGTATTTACCATTATGGTTTCAGGGCAAACCATTATACTTACCTGCATAAGCAATGGTCACACCTGATATGATTCGTCCCAGAGCTGCCAAGAAGTAAAGACAGATGACGACCTGAAAGCAAGAAACATCCGAAGATAACAGAAATTCAGTTTAGAGCCCTGCCAATAAGTAGAACCAGAAAATATTGTTGCATCGGTCTGGTAATTGGGTAAAAACACAATGGATTGTATTCAGCAGAAACTTAGTCAATCGTCTTAATCATCTTGGTCTTAAATGCTCGAGTTTAGTCTTATCATTTACCATTCAAGTACTTGGATACACAGGTGATCTAAGAGGACTATCTCTTCCAATAAAAAACCAAGGAGGCAACAATTGAGCTTGCCTTAACAAATAGCCGCTTGTGATGACCCGTTGCTGCAACCCGCAAAACGGATTCAGCTGCTCCAACGGTATTAGCTAAACGTGCAACGATGTTACTGGCTGTATCCTGTGATATTTGCCACTCTAATGGATCCACAGGTACCCTTCACACAAAAAAGTTGGTCACTTTGTTGCTCATGTGCATGCAAGAGTCTTGAAGACAGTGAATATATACCAAACAGTGATAATCAAATCAATATCATGCATTGATCGCAGAAGAGGGATTTAAAGGATAGAATTATGAGAAATACACAGTCAAACACAACATTTAACAAAAACTCGTGCTTATGAAAGATCAAAAGCAGATACATTCACATAAACAAAAGCTTGAGCTTCCTTTCCTAATTCGTTACGATGAAAGAAAAAGCAAATCAAACAAAACCAAAACACACTCAAATTAGGCAGATCAAGATGCCAACACAAAGAAAAACTTGAACATCCACACGATCATGTGAAACTAAGGACAAGAAAATGACACTCAATTCGAATTTGAACATATCAAGCAGCCAGAATAAAGAAATTCCAAAATTGTCGGGATTAGATCGGCAAACCAGAGACAGGAGACAGACAAATCCTTATACTCGAAACAACAAAAATTGCAACAAAACCGAAAATTGTTAGAGCGACATTTGAGAATCTTACGAGACATTGAGTTGACGGAAAAGAAGACCGAGAATGGCGAGTGAGGATAAGAGAACGATGAGAACATCGGAGAAGAGAGAGAGAAGAGTCGCGTTTCGATTAGCGCAATGGTGATAAACAAGCGTCCCGCTAATCAGCAATCCCACAGCTTTCCCCCATCTCTTCTTCGCTCAGAATTTCTCCGGGATTTTTTTTGTTCTGACATTTTCTTTGACATCGACGAGTTTCGGTTTACGTTTCAGTTTGGCGGTTTTACTTTGGTTCAGACTCGATTTTGACTTTGGTTAACAAGAAACTTACCAAATATTGACACTTATCAAACCGAATCAAATTTCGGCTTGAATTTGGTATGCGTCATTTCAAATTGGTCAAGTTTGGTTCATTCTCTACAATCATATACCAGTTATTTCGTAACAACTAGATTAATCACAAATTTAATTATGATTAGAGATAATAATTTTTATACTTATATTGATGGGTTGAGCCAGGCCCGTGCAGTAGTGCAACGCATGGGCGACTCGTGAAAGCCCAGATAGCAAGCTATCTTAATGGGCTTTCTCCCTTAAAAAATAGAGTTAATATCGTGTGGACCGATGGCCCACATATCAGATATTAAACTGATAAGAACAGATACTACACTTGATCTTAGCCAAAAGGCCGAGAAAGGTATGAGTTGTAAGTTGGATCCGACGTGCTTTTTATATCGATCGTGTGAGAGCTAACACATATTGAATTACCGATGTGGGACTTAAAAATCCAATGACGCGATATATTTTTGAGCCAATGTTATTATTTGCTTGTCACGTGACTGGTCTACGAGTGTAGGGTGTGGATGCGAGTACCAGATCAAAACCCGACACTTCTTCGTCTTTGTGTCCGGCATTTTTTCTTTGTCTTGACTCTTGACATGTTTCGGTTGCAACCAAGTTATATTTCTGATTGAATTTTTTGTTGTTGTTTGTTATCACAATTTCTGATTGAATATACAGCCACTATCAGTGGAGCTTGTACCAGGAAGATTGGGAAATATCTTTGATGGAATTCAATTTCAGTTTTAATTTTTGCAAGTTTTAGATTGGAAATAGCATTACAAGTTAGTGATTTTAGCTTCTCACTATTGATGGATATCACTCTGTTAATATCACAGAGGCCTTTGAAGACTATTGCAAAGAACAGTATAGGGTTGTAGTGTTGCCTCTGTAATGTATATTTGATCTCTCTTTCTCTCTTCGTGATTTCATTTCTCTGTTGTTACAAACGAAAATAATATAGATTTTTTGTATTCAAACTCAATGAGAGATGTCCTCGAAGGATCATCATTTCATTTGCCATGTATTATTATTGTGTCAATTCATGCTTCTTTTAGATACGATGACTTGTTTGTTTGCGATTGTTATTTGAAAAAATTGATTAGCGACTCAACACTGATACTTCAGTATATTTTATGATTCTATTCCCAAATTATAGTTGCTTTAAATCCCACACAAATATCACTTTCTTACGACATGATTCAAAAGGGTTAATATGGTCACTATTTCAGGAAAATGTGTTTTTGGCAATAGAGAGTGAAGATCACATAGTTGAAAAGTTATAGGAATAGACATAACAGACATCAAAATAGTAGTTATCTAACAATGCCAAATCGATAAGCAGAGTAAAAGAAAGCCAACGAAGGATTGTATATTAACCGGGTCCGACTTTAGGGATGTCGTAGTGCTCACTCATGTTAGCCAGATACTGATTGAAATCCTCAATCCTGTTACGGTGAGACTTGTTTGCTTCCTTAGCTAGTTTCTGCACATCCAACCTCTGCTTCTGCTCTATGTACCGTCTTTCTGCAGGCGTTAAAGGATCATCATCGTGCTGCACTTTCGCATCCTTGC